ACATTGTCCCATCTTTCTTTCAGTGACTGCTCAGATTTTTATATTTTTCTCTGACTCTTTTAACAACAGGGACATCTTGAGAGCTTATCTTCATACTCTGAGATTCTTTACTCTCCTTGGTTTAGTCTGTTGTTGAAGCATTCTGCTGTGTTTTGAAATTCTCTAAGTGATTCTTTGATTTCTTTAAGTTGCATGATATCCTTTCTTATGTTGTCTAGTTCTTTGGTAACTTTTTCATTGATTTCCTGAATTTTTCTTATTTTTCTTGTTTGGGATTCATTGAAGGTACAAAGAATTGGGTTACACTGATTGCATTTATTAGATAAAGTCCCCCTTGTAATTGTGTCCCACTTCCAAGAGATGTGCCATACACCGTGACTCCCCATCTCTTTCCTTCCTCCCCTGTCCCCACTACCTTTTCTTCTATCACCCCATTGCATTAGCTCATCTACTGTCTTCATATTAAAATTGAGTACATTGGATTCTTGCTTCTCCATTCTTATGTTGCTTTACTAAGAAGAAGGTATTCCACCTCTATCCAGGTTAATATAAAAGATGTAAAGTCGCCATCTTTTTTAATGGCTGAATAGTATTCCATGGTATATATATACTACAGCTTGTTGATCTGTTCCTGGGTTGGTGAGCATTTAGATTGTTTCCACATTTCGGTGATTGTAAATTGAGCTGCAATAAACAGTCTAGTGCAAATGTCCTTATGATAAAAAGATTTTTTTTTCTTCTTGGAAGATGCCTAGTGGGGGACGGCAGGATCAAATGGGAGGTCTAATTTGACTTCTTTGAAGATTCTAAATACTTCCTTCCAAAAAGGTTGTATTAATTCGTAGTCCCACCAGCAGTGTACAAGTGTCCCCTTCTCTCCACATCCATGCCAGCATCTGCAGCTTTGAGACTTTTTGATTCTCACTGGGGTTAGATGATATCTCAGGGTAGTTTTGATTTGTATTAGCATTTTTTTTGTATATTTGTTAGCCATCCATCTGTCTTCTTTAGAGAAGATTCTATTCATGTCTCTTATCCAGTGATATATGAGATTGTTTGGACCTTTTTTTGTTGACTAATTTGAGTTCTATGTAGATCCTAGTTATCAAGCTTTTGTCCAATTCATAATGGGCACATATCTTTTCCCATTCTTTTTTTTCTTTATTAAATCATAACAGTGTACATTAATACTATCATGGGGTACAGTGTACTGTTTCTCTATACAATTTGAAGTACTTTCATCCAACTGGTTAACATAGCCTTCATGTCTTTTTCTTAGTTATTGTCTTAAGACATTTATATTCTACATTTAGAGAGATTCACATGTACCCTTATAGGATGAACCATAGGCGTGCTCCTGCCAATCACCCTCCCTCTACCCACCCTCCCCTTTCCCCTCCCCTCCCTCTCTTTTCCCATTCAGAAGGTTGTCTGTTTCCTTTGGTTATTGTTTTCTTAGCTTTACTGAAGCTTTTCAGTTTAATTACATCCCATTTGTTTATTTTTGTTGTTGCAATTGCCATTGAAGTCTTTTCCATAAAAATCTTTCCCCAGGCCAGTATCTTCAAGTGTTTTCTCCACATTTTCTTTGAGGATTTTTATTGTTTCATACCTTAGAGTTAAATCTTTTATCCAGCTTGAATCAATTTTTGTGAGTAGAGAAAGGTATGGGTCTAGTTTCAGTCTTTTTCATGTGGCTATCCAGTTCTTCTAAACATCCTTATTTATTGAATAAGGATTCTCTTCCTCGGTGTATTTTCTTGTTTGGTATATCAAAGATTGGGTGGCTGTAAGATGTTAGTTTCATCTCATGATTTTCTATTTAGTTCCAAACGTCAATGTCTCTATTTTTGGTCTAATACCATGGTGTTTTCCTCACTATGGCCTTGTAGTATAACTGAAAGTCTGGTAGGGTGATGTCCCCAGCTTTGTTTTTATTACTAGGAATTGTCTTGGCTATCTGGTTTTTTTCTGGAACTTCCAGCACTATGTTGAATACTAGTAGTGATAAAGGACAACCTTGTCTGGTTCCAGTTCTAAGTGGAAAAGCTTTCAGTTTTACTCCATTCAGTATAATATTAGCTGTGGGTTTGTCATAGATGGCTTTGATCACTTTAAGAAATGTTCCACCTATGCCTACATGTAGCAGCCCGAATAGCCTATGGCTACGAGGAGTAAGAGTTATAGGAAATATCTGTAATGGAACACCTTGGTGAAAAGGGTGTGGAGAGAGATTTGGTTCTAACTAGCATGAGAGAGCTTGTGAGATGAGAGCATTGGTGAATTGGCAGTCTCTATACCTGTGGTGGTGAGAGGCACAAGCTCAGCCTTATATTAGGCTGGAGGAGAAGGCTGTCAAAAAGCATGTGCGTTCTATCATGGACACACTTACTCTGACTCTGTCTCCTCTTCTGCCTGCAGAACACCAGCACGGCGTCTCTCTGCTGAAGATTACCAAGCTCTGCCGAAGACTAAGATCTATCTATGCTAAGAAGTCTGTTTTACTCTCTCTAATATACTCCCTCTCTCTCCAGCTAAAGTAAATAGCACTCAGGCAACTAAGAGAAACTGTTCCTGAGCAAGGTAGCTTAGTACTTTATGTCCAGAACCTACCTAAGCCGGCCCGAGACCTGGCCAGCCCTGGGCCCTGACAAATGGTGTTAGAAGCAGATCCTGCACTTACATTCTTAAGTGTTCTAATTAGAAAACGATGCTGAATTTTATTGAATGCTTTTTATGCATCTATTACGAGGATCATATGGCCTTTGTTTTTGTTTCTATTTTTAATTTTATAGCCATTTAGTTAACTTAAAATACTTTCAGCTATCTTTTGTAATTTGCAGGCCCTTTGTCTTATTTTCTGGTTGTTTCTTTTCTGCATGGCATTTTGAACCATCATATGTTTTTGTATCCATATGATAGTAATTGCTTTTTAGAAATTCTCTTCTGTTCCCTGCCCTATCTCTATAAGGTTTTTCCCTTTGCTCATCTTGATCCTGCTCCTTCATGTTGTAGGTTTCCAGAAATTCCTATGGCCTGTTGTAGTTTCTTCATACTTATGCATGTGGAGCTGACAAGCTAACTTGGAACTTCATTTAATGAGATGGGGTTGCAAACTCTGAACTTCTCTGAGGGAATCCCAAATGCTGAAGGTGAAGGCCTTTTCTCTCAGTCATTTCCATTTTTCTTAAAACATCTCCAATCTCTTACCTGAATGAAGATGTTCTGTGTCAGACAAAAGATTGTTTTGTATTTGACCTTCTGAACAATCCCTTGGTTTTTGTCTTTGTATTTCCTTCCCGCCATTAATACCTTCCCAGAAGTTTGCCAGACACCCTGGATCCTTTCCTGACCTCTGGGAGTATCTTCCACTTGCAAAAGCAGTTAGAGCTGCTCTGACAACTTTGTCTTCTGATTTTAGTCTAAATTGCTCATCTAATTCCTTTCTCTTTGTCATTATGACTTTAATTCTTTTACTTTCATTTTAGGGAATACTCTAGTAGGAGAAAAATACTTCTCTTCAATCAACTATCTTTAACCAGAAGTCTTTTTTTTTTTTTTTATTTTTAAGGAATTCAATGGCTAAATGAGATTTTGGTCTATCCTAATGCATGTTTGGGGGATGGGAGTCTCAATGACCCCCTTATAGTAGAATAAAAAACCCTGTAAGTCGGAGAAATTTGTGAAGGCCTTATTAGCACAGGGCACACTTCATCAAGTAAGAAACAGTATTACAAACCTTTGTGACTTTTCCTAGGGTTGTACTTAATGTCTGAAATTCAGAGGCCTCTACATATCACCTCTGCAGGCAAGTTTAGACACAGAGCAATGTGTCCTGCTTTTGAAAATGTGCACAAGTCTCCATTTTGGATTGGAGAAAGAGAGTGATATCCTTGTGACTGTTCTTAATTCAAACCTTGCCAGATGAGAAACTTGGAACACCATTTTATGATCCAGAATCCCATTCCTCTGAAGTTTATCATGGGTGAGGTATACCTCTTTAAATCTTCCCAAAATTTCTTCTCTTTTTTTAAGTAAGAAGACTTGCAGTTTAGTGCTCAGTTGTGTAATGTATTGGTCAATGTTTTCATTTCTTTCTCTGTGACTTAAAAAAATTGTACTAGCCAGAGTTCTTCAGAGAAACAGAATTAGTAGAATGTGTACATGTATGTGGAAAAATATTTGTTATAAGGAACTGGCTTACTCAGTTATGGAGGCTGGCAAGTGCCAAATCTATGGTGTGGGCCAGCAGGCGGGAGACCGGAGAGGGCTGGGGTACAGTTGCAGTTTGGAGGCAGTCTGCTAGGGAATTCTCTCCTCCTTAAGCTGCTGGTCTTTCCTTTCAACTCAGGCTTTCCAATGATTGGATGATACCCATCCCCATTATGGAAGGCAATCTGCCTTACTCAGAATTCACCAATTTCCATGATAGTCTTATCTGATAAAACTCTCCAAGTAATAGTATTAATTTCTGTAGAGATTTTAACATTTAAAAAGATTCTATTTTAGAGAAGGAGCTCACTCAGTCACCCAGGCTGGAATACATTTGGTGTGATCATAGTTCACTGCAACCTCAAACTCCTCATTATGTTTGCCAGGATGGCCTTGAACTCTTGGCTTCAAGCAGTAGCCCCACACTCTGTCCTCCCAAAGTCCTGGGATTTCAGGCATGAACTACAATGCCCAGCCAATTTTAACATTTTTTAACTCAGTATTTTCCCTAGAGAGTTCAGGCTAAGATCTCTTTTCAATAGTTTGATTGGAACAGGGTGAACCTTTTCACATTTAGGTATCGGTCTTCTTTAAGCTTGCTGTTTTCCTCTCTTCCACCCTTGACTTTTCCAAAAGTAAACAAATTCCATTTATTCTTCCCTTCTCTCCATAAGAACACTTATTTTACACATGTTGGCTCTTCACTGATCATCCTTTATGTCTCAAATCTCCTGGGCTCGCAGAACTCTTAGAAACTTAATGTCTTTTTCCTTGTTTTATTTTTGCAGGATGGACACAGACAGCCAGAACACAGACAACAAGGACCTAGATGAGCTGATTTTCCCTCAGCTCCTTCTCAAGCACTTCAGAGAAAACAAGGTGGAGATTGCAACTGCGATAACACAGCCATTTCCTTTCCTCATGAGCCTCCGAGACCGTGCCTTCATCTCTCAGACAATGTTTGAAGTAAGTGAGAATTTCCTCATGATGGTAATCTAGGCCCACATTTTATTCTGCTGAACTTCAGGATGCAACTGTTAATGAAAAACACAAACCCTGTAAAATAACTTAGAGAGCTTTATTCTGGGCCAAATATGAGGGCTGTGACCTGGGGAAGCACAGTCTCAAAGGTCCTGAGAAAATGGTCTGAGGTGTGCAGGTTACAGTTTGGTTGTGTACATTTTTAGGAGACAGGAATTGCAGGTAAAATCACAAGTCAAAACCTGGAAGGTTGGTTTGGCTCCAAAGGTGCGGCATCTTGAATAGGGTAGCTTACAGCTTACCCATGGATTCAGAGATTCTTTAAGTTTTAATTAGTTAAAAGAGTAAAGTACTGTGTAAAAAGATTGGAGTCAGTAGAAAGGGATGGTTTAATTTAAGAAAGCCTGCTCATGATAGAGCTAGCCACAATATGCTTAAATTAGTGGGTCGCAGGTGTGACTTATCTTTTGCCTCACATGGCCTTAGGTGCTATTGTAATTTGGTATCATATGGCCATGGAGTTCCTTCTATCAGTCTTATGGTACCTATTTTAAAATTAATGCTGGCCAGTTGCGGTGTCTAAACTCCAAAAGGGGGTGGGGGAGATATGAGGTGTTGTATCTGGCTTCACTTCCTGGCATGGGTGGGAACTCCATTTTAAGGTTTTTCTGGGGTTCCCTTGGCCCACAGGGGGTCTGTTAAGTCAGTGTGGGGCTTAGGACTTTATTTTTAGTTTACTCAATAAACAGACTGAAGGACCTCCTGTGAGTGGTGACCTTCACCATGCTGTAAGTGAGGAGGTGACAGGAGAAGCTCCATAAGAACACTTATTTGACACATGTTGGCTTTTCACTGATCATCCTTTATGTCTCAAATCTCCTGGGCTCACAGACCTCTTCTCTCTTCTGTAGTACCACGGGACGGGCACTATGAAGGGACTGGAGCAGGAATGGGAGTGCTGCTAGGTGTAGAGTAGCAAGGGTGCATTTATACAATATACCAGTGGACGCTAAAATTGAAGCAAATAAGTGATCCAGGCAGCGTTTCCTTATAAAGGAAGACTGAGGTTTTTGAAATTCACAGGGAAGTTGTGTCACTGCAGGACACATGTGGAAGCAGATGCTTGCTACTTTCTCTTCAACTCATTTTTTGCTGTTTTGGACATTTCTGGAGCCCTAGTATGCAAGTGAATGTCAGCAGTGGACCCCCCAAGGATACTGAGGATAAGCTTTCTTGTCTCAGAGCAATGAGGGTAGTCATCTGGTTTCCTGGAGCCTGTGGGGCCAGGCCAATCCTGGCACTGCTTATGCCTGTTGCTGAAACATCTCAGCCAGTCTCTCAAAGCCCCAAACAACATTTGACTCACATTTATTATATAAAATTATTCTCACATTTATTATATAAAATTATTCTCTCCTTTCAAGTGTTCAAGTGTATAGCAATATCAGAGAGTCAGGCTCACAAAATTAGAATCTATTTTGTGGTGGAGGACATTTAAAAAGTCAGCCAAATATAAGCAAAATTCTAATATTTCATGAGAGAACAAATGTTCTATCAGAAAGTCTTTTATATTCTGGATAACTTGTGAATCTATAGCTACATAATTATCCATTCAATACTTTAAAGAACTTTCAAGAAGCTTGTAGAAACCTGATCCCAGTGCCAAGAGTGATGTACGATGTCCTCAGTGAACTGGAGAGAACATTTGACCCGTCACTTCTGGAAACATTGTTCAGCAAAGTTAACCTGAAGGCCTATCCTGATTTAAATGAGATTTTCAGAAGCTTCCAAAAAGGTAACTATACCTCTTAACATCTTTTGGGGATTCAAGTCTATTTCATTCACTGAATAATCAGTTTACTCTTCACTAATATTTGACAAATATTTTACTGAGTGGCTACCATGTACCAGGCATGGAAGGAATACAATGGTGAAGACCACACATGTGACCTGTGTCCTCATGGACCTTATGTATGTATAGTGGGAGGGACAGATGATAACCAAGTAATTCCACAAATGGTTGCTCAGCCAGGACCTGATTTTGGTGCTGTAAAACCTGGGATTAAAGTTTCTACTTTTGGGGGGAAGATATGAATCGTGCCCTTTCCAAAGCCCTCTGTGGTAGTTATAGACATGTTCATAGACACAAAGATTTTCTTTGTATTGGAAATCTATCAGTCGGTATAGTCCTGAGTCAAAGTGCTTCTCCAGCTCAAGAGTGGGGCACTCAGGGAAAAGCCCAGAACATACCCATACGCTGAGGAGCAGCAGCATGTGAGATCTACAAAGTCTGAGAGCCGGTGGGGTTGGCTTTTAGAATCATGTGGTTGAATGGCAGGGTGTGGAGGGAGGTCTTGGAAGCTGATTCTGGAGAGGGAAGTTGGAGTGGATTTTGGAGAACCTAACACCCTACACAGAAGAATTTGAAGTTTATTTTTCAGGAAATAAAAAAGAAGTATGGGATTTCTAAACAGGGAAAAAGTAAGAGTTAGCGTGAAGTTTGGGATGCATTGATCTGTGAACATCATACCTTGAATCTAAAAAGAGCTATTTTGCTGTGCACGGTGGCTCATGTCTGTAATCCTAGCACTCTGGGAGGCTGAGGCAGGAGGATTGCTTGAGCTCAGGAGTTTGAGAGCAGCCTGAGCAAGAACTGAGCAACATCCTTCTAGCAGGAGGTTGTGTGTTGGGTGTTGTGGTGGGTGCCTGTAGTCCCAGCTATTTGGGAGGCTGAGGCAAGAAGATCTCTTGAGCCCAAGAGTTTGAGGTTGCTGTGAGCTGTGATGGTGCCCTGGCACTCTACCCAGGGTGACAGAGAGGGACACTCTCTCTTAAATAAATAAATAAAATAAAATAAAATAAAGTGAACTATTTCATTTCTATACTATCATATATCTAAGTCAGAGAAAAGACTAGAGGAAATAAAATACTGTACAGTTCTCCCTCCATATCAGCAGGGGATTGTCACAGGATACTTCTCTTCTCAACCCTCAATCCTGGATACCCAAGTCTCTTATATGAAAAGGCATACAGGAAGTTGAGGCAGGATGATCACTTGAGTCCAGCATTCAAGATTATAGTGAGCTATGACTATACTCCAGTCTGGGTGACAATTTGTCTTTATAAAAATAGAAATAAAAATAAAATGGTAAAGCATTTGCATATAACCTAAGCACATCCACCTGTACAATTCAAAACATCTTTAGGTTACCTGTAATACCTAATACAATGTAAGTGCTATGCATGTAGTAGTTGTATTGTATTAAAATTCTATTATTATTATTTTTTGTATTTTTTATTTAAAAACTTTTTTCAATATTTTTGTTCTGAAATTGGTTAAATTTATAGATCTGGAACCCATGGATAGGGAGCACTGACTATTCCTAGGCATAAATTTCAAGTCAGTGTTGTAAACGTATTTGTAACCAGGATGTTCCACGTGGTGGGTGCGAAGTAAATGGAGTTATCTTTTCTGCACACATCTCAAGGGCTCTGAAGACCCCTTCCCCAGGCTCTACATCTGCATCTCACATATGAGTTTCCAGCTCTCCATGGGCCAGGCACTCAGGCTCATGACTGCTGGACAGTGATGGGCATCACATGAGCTCGTGCAGCTGCCCACATTCCCTGGAAAGAAGCTGCCACCTCTGGGAGCTGTGAGGCAGTGGCCCAAAGCTGAGGATCTGGGAGCTGTGGTTCTAGCTGCCACTTTCCTTCTGGCCCTTTCTCACCTTCATCATGTGCTAAGAAGCTCTCACTTCTCACTGAGATAGCTGCACTCAGGGCTTTACTTCTGTTCTGTAGGCCACTGACCCATGTAACTATCCCCCATGCCCACCTGGACATGAAGTCAACATGTCCTTGGGTGGGAAAAGCATCAGTTATTCCCGTAGGTGCTCCAAACCTTCTAGTTTCCCCACCCCAGTGGGTATTTCCCCTAGGAGATATGCTCCCTTGTCAGTACTTTTATTATTATTTACTTTTAATTTTATTTTTTAGAGACAGGATCTAGCTATGTTGTCCAGGGTGCACTGAAACTCTGGGCTCAAGTGATCCTCCTGCCTCAGCTCCCTGGTAGCTGGGACTGCAGGTGCCCCACAGCCCCCAGGTCTTTGGTCCTTATATGGTATTTTTCTATATTTTCTGGGTGTTTCTCCTCATGGCTGTGAGTCTTTCTTCTCCATCTATGCTTGCTGGGTCATCTTAAAATACAGCTCTGAGGCCACTGGTGCCCTGGGCTTTACCTGTGCCTTTGTAGTCATCTCCCTGGGTCATTAGTACAGCTGTGATAATATTCACTTACTGCTTGTGCCTTTCAGAAAGCATGTTTTATTTGTTTCCTGGATGTCTCCCCACCCATACTACCTGGGAAAGTGCTATTTCCTCCTCACTGCTGCTTCTTTCTTATCAGATTATCTTTCTTAACCATTAAGCCAAAGGTCCATCCATTCCTCCCTCTCCTTCCTTCCTTCTTCCCTTCCTTTCTCCCTCCCTTCCTTTCTTCCTTCTTCCACCAACTCCCCATCTCTATCCTTAAAAGTTGTTGAGGCTTTCTCTTCTTCTCCTTCTTCTAAATATAGGCCTATTTCTCTATAACCATTCCATTACCTTCTGAAGAAATCCTTCTTTCTTCTTCCCTATTCATAGTTGCAGTTTATAAAACACTTTGAAAATTTATTATTTATTAGAAATTGGCTTTCACTGTTTTCTGCTCATTTTGAAGGAAGGTTAAGCAGTATTTACAACTTTCCCACTGTTTGTTCATACTAAAATCTTGAGAAGTGCATCTTGACCTGGAATGGCTGTAGCATTCTAGGAGTAACATTGAGTCAGAAGCTATTTGGGACCTACTGAACACCAGGGAGCCCCGAGGGCTGGATAGTTCCACTGAGCCACTGGAACAAAGATGTGCTTGATGGTGTAATTGTGAGATGCAGCCACTGGCCACTGTTTGAGATCTCTAATTGTCTTTTCCCCCTCTTCTCAGCGCTTCATGACTTCTTTTATGAAAATGATGATGAAGAAGAGCCTCACATTCATTCATTCCAGGACAGAAGTAATTATGCCTCCTTAAAACTCATGTTCTCATCTTCTAAGAGGAAAAGAGATTAGTGATCAGAGGACCAAACTTCTGAGTGGTGACTGTGACCCTGGGGAGGGAGGCAGGAGGAGACGGAGAAGGCAGAGCAGTGGTGTTTTGTGTGGGCTTTTAATTAAGCAACTAGACTTGGAATCCGAGAGTATTGGCAGGCAGATAACACAACAAGCAGATGGAACACACCAAAGAGAGGACATTTCAGTGAGCCTGAGTTAAGGGTGAACTGACAGCAGTAACTGTGAGTTAGGCACTCAGTGGATCTGGGAAGAGGTTGGGTGATGGTGCCATGTGACAAGTTCAGACAGGAAGTCTTTGGCGTGTCATAAGAAGGCACTGTTGTAATGTTACTCATAATAACAGAAAAGAGAGAAAGAGAGTGAGTAATAATTACACATGGAAGAGAACATGGAAGGAGTGGTGCTGTGTAGAAAAAAACAAGGGCAGAAGGGAAAGGAAATAAGAGGAGAGGAGAGAGAATGAAGGGGACTTGTAACACTAATAATAACATCAGAGGCCAGACCTGCGTTTCACCAGCCACTCGGCATATCGACCAACTCATTAATGCTCATGTATCAAACATCACTACTGTTTCTAGCTTTCCAATCATCATTTCATTTATATTATTGTTAATAATTATATTAGAACCTAAGATATTCATACTGAATACTATGATTTCTTCATAAGTTACTATACCCCAAATATCTCTACACAAGTGGCATCTTATTATTCCCATTTTTCAGGAGAAGAAACTGAAGCCTGGTCATATTTAGTGACTTTGGCAAGGTCAAACCAGTAAGAATTGGCCTGTACAGGACTCAAACATTTTCTGTTCTACCAGTTAAGAACAAGGATTCTGAGACACCAAGTCCTGGCTTCTGATCTTTGCTCTAATACTTGGGAAAATAATTTCTCCATGGCTTAGTTTCCTCATCTGTTAATGTATAAATATAATAGTAAAGTTATTGAGAGAAGTAAATGACTTATGTGAAGCACTTACAAAAATATGTGGCACAAAGTAACTACTGTCTGCTTACTATTATTATAACCTGTATCTGACTCCAACAACTAGGCATTTGATTGGGCTCACATTTTTAGAGTTTTTCTCCTCAAACACCCACTGAGCAGACAATTATTTCCCAGAATAGAGGAGAAGTGACAGAAACAACTTTTAAGCCCAAGAAAAGTTCTCCATTCTTAAACCAAATGGTCTACAATAAATTTATTTAATTTTTAAATGTTGGTTTTCCTTGGAAATGACCACTGTAAGAAAAATCCAAAGAACATAAATAGCCTTGTGAAATGCCATTAATATTGTGATTTAATCTGGATTTATAATTAAGCTGGCCTATGCTTTTAAAATGTATTAGTACATTGATATAAAGATTGGATCTATTTTAACAATATTTATTCTTTTAGATAAAAGCAAGTCATTAAAAGTAGAAAATGTATGTTAAAAGTACAAAGCATACCAGAATATATTTAGTGATTCATCTACTATTGAGGGTAGTAGGAATGAGAATAGGGTGAATGGAAGGATGCATAATAGTTTTTCCCAAAGAACAGAAGAGGTTTATTACAAAGGGGAAAATCTTTGGGATTTCTAATTTGATTTAGGGATGATGCTACCAGAAGCTGGAATCTCAGAGCATCTCAGCAATGAGGAGCAGATGGACAGAAGGGAAGAATATTCATGTCATGACTCAAATGATGCATTAAGTACCCAAGAAACAACAAGTGACTATGCTGGAAGCTCTGAACGAGAAGGTGAGGCTGACTGACAGTCCAGTTTTTGTCCCTGTGCCTGACCACACCTAGGGAGGGGGGAGGGACTGTGTCCTGTGCTCATATTCAGAAAGGAAGTCCAAGAGAATGAGAGATAAGGGTAGAGGACTAGACCAGTGCCTGAGCAAGGAGGCATTTATCTATTAAGAAAGGGTGTCTAATTTCTGTGGCGATGGGGAGAGAGAAACACACACGCACACATACACAGAAGTTTCACAGGACGCTGAAATAGCATAGGTGTAGAGGGAGCCAGAAGGAGAAACTATGGAGACAAAGAGGAGGGATCCGAGAGGGCTCACTGGGGTAGAGGGGTGAAGCATAGGTGATGGTGGTGGCCAAGGAGAGGGATGCCCTCAGAGTCAAGGGTGCACGAATGTCTGCCCAGCACCGGGAGCCACATTCAGAGTGAAATGTGAGAAATGGGCAGAAGCAGAATGAATTGCAAAGAGATTGAGAAAGAGGTAGAGCACACATGGAAAAAAATAATAAACCTCCACTCCTGCTATATACCGTCCATAAAAAATAATTCAACTTAGATCAGCGATCTTAAAGTTACAGGTCAAACCAGAAGGTTTCGAGAAGGAAGCAGAGAATGTCTTTGCAAATGCAGGGTAGGCAATAATTTGTTTTGTAGGTCACAAAAGTATAGACATAAAAGAGAAACTTGGCAAGTTAGACTTCACCAAATTAAATCCTTCTGCCTATCCAAAGACACTAGTAAGAAAAGGAAAAGACCAGCCACAGATCATGAGAAAACATTTGCAATATGCATAACTAACAATGGGTCGTATTGGGAATATATGAAGAACTTTTATAAATGGATGGTAAAAAGACACGATCAATTAAAAAAATGGACAAAAGACATAAACAGGCACTTCAGGACAGAAGACATAAAATGGCTAATAAGAACATAAACAAATGTACAACATCAGTCATCAGGGAAATGAAAATGAAAACTGCAATGACATACCATTCCATCCACTAAAATAGCTGAAATTAGAAACACTAATGACACTGAACATGAAGGTGAATGTGAGGAAATTGGAATTCCTGTCCCTTCCTGATGGAAATGTAAAATGATAATGACCACTTTGGAAAACTATGTGGCAGTCTCTTATAAAGCAGAACCTAACTTATGCCTCAGCAATTTCACTGCTAGGTATTTCCTTGGGAGAAATGAAAACATGGGCTCACACAGAGATTTGTACAAGAATGTTTATAGCAGCTTTATTCATAAAAGCTAAATTCTGGAACCAACTCAAATGCCCATCAACAGGAGAGGACATATACAAAGTATGACGTATTCAGAGTGTAATACTATCCAGCAATAAAACGAATGAACCGTTGGTATATGTAGCAACATGGATCAATCTCAAAAATATGTTGAGCCAAAGAGGCCTGTTGCAAGAGTACATAAAGACATGGTCTTACTTATCTGAGTGCCAGTACAGACAAGTATAGTACCAGGAAGGAAGGATGGTGATAAAAATTAGAATGGTGGTGACTTAAGCATAGGGAAATATCTGGGGTGGTGAAAAGGTTCCAAATCTTGACTGGGATGTTGGTTTCACAGTGGTTTATACTTAAGATATGGGCATCTCAATGAAAAAGAGGAATGCCAGGCTCTGTTGGGCCTAAGATGGGTGTGTCCATGAAGCTTGAACACTGGAGTTCAACTTGAGCACACTGAAGTCTCACGTCTGGTCACTGTCTGCATTCAGTCATCCTCATGTTGTTCTCAGCCCCCTATTACTTCTCTGTCCAGGGACCTGCCCTTACCTATCAACAGGTATGAGAGAAAACATGAGAAAGGAGATTTGAGCTCCTGAATGGACGGAGTCTTCATTTGGTGGAGAATGTAAAAAGAAAAAATAGGAAAGGTACTCAGGAGGTGATACGTGACAGATTTCATGAATAAATCCAAAGCAGCATAAAACCCTACCCTCCCAGGTTGGGATGAATGGATTATTTTTAAGTAATTTTATAGCACCATTAAGAAAACTCAGAAATAACATGCCATGCCAGGTCCATGTGGGAGATCTTCATTATGGAGTTGGCCAGTTGGGAGCCCGTGGTGCTGTGGTTGAAGTACAGTGGGAGAGTTTTGGAGGAGGTGAAAGAGGAGAACCTGCAGGATGGAATTTTTCAGGGAGGCCAAAATTAAAATAGTATTGGCAGCCAGAAGGTTGAGGTAAGGTGGGGAAACAGAGATGTAGTGGGAGGAAGTAGAAGACACATCAGAGAAGAGGGGAGATAAACCAAAAGGGCTGTCAAAGATCAGAGGTGAAGTGGGGAGAAGTCTGTGGAAAAGACGGATGAGAGGAAAATAAATAGCAAGAAGTGGGGCAAGTCACGGAGGGGTGCAGAAGCGCCTATGTAGAGAAAGGGTTAAACGAGAAAGGCATAAAATTGGTGATGAGTGAAAAGAGGATAAAAAGAGAGAGATCATTGTTGTCCCATGGTTTTCCAAATTGGAAACCTAAGAGTCACCCCTGAGTGACTGACTTACCCAACAAGGGCATTTCTTCTTCAGATGATCCCCACCTGTCCCTTTGTTGCATTCCCTAGGTGTCTGGGTGTCTGGTCTCCATCTCTGTCACTCTCACTGTTCTCAAGGCAATATCTTCCGCTCATTTTCTTCCTCTAATTTAGCTCCCTCAAAGACATTATTTGTACTTCAATAAGAACAGCTTACATTGTGTCATTTTCCGATTTACTTTCTCAATACACTAAGGATTAAATAAATGAGCTTTTTTAATTAGCATCCAAAGTCATCCACAATGTCCCACTTGCCTTTCCCCTGAGCCTCATCACCAGCCTCCTAAAATACTACTCCAGGATAGAATAAATTTTCCTCTGATAATTTCAGTTGTTCAATCTCTTTTTCATATGCTCTTTGCCCTCTTTAAAACTGGTCTCAGGTCCCACTGCCTTCCCTTTCTCCTTCTCCAATTCGGTTAACTCTGATTTAATACATACTGTCTGACAGAGGCCTTGCTTTAGAGACATCTTCAAAGGAACAATCAAGAGACAAAGGATGGGAGGGAAAGAGCAGGCCGAGAAAGCGAGAGGAAAAGCAGCGGGAGCAGGAAAGGGAGAAATGCACCCAGAGAAGATGGGCTCCAGGCGACACCAGCAGAGTCAACCAGGCAGAGATTGAGCAAATGTATAGAATCAAATGGAAAGAAAGGGATGAGAAAGAGAAGAAGGTGTACAGAAGAGAAGATTCTTCATGAAAGGTGAATTATTCTCACCTCTGGTGAAGGTTACTGGAGCAAAGTTAACCTCAGGTCAGGTTGTCTGGGAAGTGCGCACGCTTCGTTTACTCAGGCTTTCTGAATTTTCTCATTATGTGTTTTCTTCTTTTGATGCCTTCTTGGTCATAAATCAAGACAGCTGAGGGGTTTCATTCTTTTTTGCAGGGGACAGCAATGCCTATCCTGAAATGCATGATGTAGAAGAGCCTCAGGAAGCCTTGAGGTCCCCGCCAAGATGTGGGCCAGGTAAGGAAGGGGAGGATTGCTCTCCCTGACCTGCGGGTGTCAGACAGTAGAATTCAAAGCTGGTATTTCGTGATACATTTGAGACTGAGCATTCTCCACAGCCAAAGGTCCAGTTTGTCCTGGAATCTTGTGAGTCACATACATGTTTCTAAGTGCATGTTATAGTGGAAATACGCTAGAGTAAGACGATGTCTTTCATGCCTATTAACAATAAAAATGTGAATTTATACCTACTCATACATTATCTAGAGAATAAAAACTACTAAGTATTTTTGTTTGTTGTGATTATTATTTTGTCCTTAACTATAGAAAGCCTTCAAAGGAAACATGGGAAACATGTTCTTTCAGATTAACTGCTTGTAAATCTGAATTATTATTTTTGTCAAATATTTTTTATTATGTTACTGTCTCACATAGTGACTAATTCAAAGAATTCTGGCAAAGAGAATGTCCTTTTATCTGCACTACTTATGCATTTAGGTGGGCAAACTTCTCTGCTCCTGTAGCTTTTCTTCTTGTTTTCTCTTTCTCCTTCACCCTTTGTAGCTTTCTCTAAAGCAAGGCCTCTGTTAGATTTGACAGTGGAACCACACACACGTGTAGGGACCTTTTACCTGGTCAGAAAGTGAAACAAGAGCAGGACCAGTATCCCCAATAACTAACTCATTGCAGCAATAGTTGTCCGAGGCTGGTGGAGGATCAGATCGTCAAGCAGAGTTCACAGAGTTCACAGGAGACCCCGGAGGCCTGCAGGCTCCCAGGGGGGTGGCACAGGGCCCAGTACCAGGGCACTGTTATCTTCCAAAGTCTTTCAGGAGTGAGAAGAGGGAAAAGCAGAGAGAGACAGTAGGACTAGAGATTTGCAGGTGAGAAGCAAGAGATCTAGGAGAATGGAACCAGAAGAAAAGCAGAGCCACAAGCAGGAAAGGTGATGAAGGGCACTGAAGGGAAATGTGGAAGGAAAAGAGAAGGAATGTGACTTCTGTCTTCCGAAGAGAAGCTCACCTGAGTACCGAACACCAGAACTCAGCAGGAATGTCCTGAGGCCTACTGTCCCATCACTGCATCTAGGCTGTCATTTCCTTGTTTCTCTTTGGTTTCCTGGAAGAGATGCCAGAGAAACACTGAAACTGCTACCCGGTGGCGGGGGGAGGTAATTATATTTAAGGGACCAATTACTTCATTTCTTTGCCTGCCTGTCTCTGTGCCAGGGACACTTCCCGTCCCTCTCTCCCACCCCCACAACACAAATACACTCGTTCAGCCTCTGGTTGTTTTTCCCCAGGTGTGCGGGAGGCAAGGGGGAATGGAAGGCTAAGTCCTTTAATGGAAGATTTAAATTTTAGGTTGAAAAATTAGAAAATTAACTAGAGAGAACAGTTAGAGGTGGGGAACATAATAAGAGAGAACATAAGGGTAGAGAGTAATAAAAATGTAGTTTGGAGGCACCAAACAGAGTCATCTAAGCAGGCTTAATGTTATATACATGAATGTGGAATCTAAATCCTTCTAGGATGGGGTCTGATGAGAGAGAAAGAATTTTAAACTTAATTTCTGGGGGTTTTATGGGAACACGAAATGCTGTATACAGGAGAGATGAAGTGGAAGTAAGTTAAAAGAATAAGCAGGAAGACAGTGGGGCAAAGAGGTAAAGAACATCATGGAGGGAGAAGGCAGAAATGCAGAAAGCTGGTGGACACCAGGAGTAGGACGTGGAGTCAAGGAGACCCAGGAATGGCTTCCTGCTGCAGGTGCAGTGATGTGTGAAGGCAGCGCTAGGGGAGAAAGAAGGGAAGCGGAGAAAGGAAAGGGGCCCACGGACATGCTAAAAGAAGTGAGAAGCAAAACTCAGTTAGTACAAACATACCTTTGTTCCCACGGAGAAATTCTGCTCTGAACATCAGGGCTCAGCACGACACATCCAGGTATGCAGCTGGGTCTCTGTCAATTGTCTGTCATATTTCTCTTTCTCTCTTCAGGGTGTTGGAAACTTACTCCACAGACAGATGGAGAAGAATCAGAAGAAATCCCCAGGTTACTACCTTATGATAGAGAAGGTAGTTAAGATTTAAATTGTCTATTATCTAATTAAGATTTATTTTCTTGTCTACACCTGTTTCTTCATCCCTGTTCCCATCCATCCATCCATTCATCCTCACACACACAGAGACTATACCTAGCCTCTGCCTGCATTCACTGGGAGATACAAACAGTAGAAGAAGGATGAGTTCATGTTGGTTGAAGTTTTCCTGCACATAAACATGGGCCAAGAGATGGAGACTGGAAAATATAGATGGAGTCATGAAATGAACAGAGGTTTGAATGAGTGCTGGTTTAACCTAAATAGTCATGGAATCCAAATATCAGATTGGAATGTGTTATGTGTTATTAGGCAGGGAAGAGATAATTTCTACCCTACTTCCCCAAGGTTGTGAGAAGAATGTGGGCACAATGAATATGTCTATATCTTGCACTATAGAAAACTCATGCAAAAGACTTTTGAGAGGGATCTGATAAGGGGAAGGGAAATTGCTCCTTTGTCACCTGCAAAAGACTAGACCTTTAGTGGTAGGGGAGAAAGATGAGACAGAATATATCAGAAAGACTGAAATTTGAATTATTATATTTAAATTTTAGGTTAAAAAATTAGAAAATTAGCAGTGAGAATAGTTAGAGGCAGGGAAATGAGCACCAGGGAAGAAAGGAGATAAGCTTGATGCTAAGATGCAGAGTATTAAAAGGCAGAGAAAATGATCTTATGAGAGACACAGAGAAAAATAAAATGCCAACAGACAGGAACAGTGGAGGAGAGGGATGAAGGTTATGCACAGATGAAAATCTAAAGGAGAATGAGAAAAAGTCAGCAGAGCATGAAAACTGGTTGCAAGGGAGAGAGACCAGTTTGGGACATTGTACAGATTGAGGGAAAAGTCACTATACAGAAACAATTTCTAGCCTAAGGACAAACCATATTAGCAGAGAATTTTCTGATTATGGTGACTCAGATGATCAATGTGGCACCTGTAATATCCTCAGAGGCAATCATCCTCTCCCCCAGGCATTCTTGTCTGTCCCTACCTATAACTTAATGACTTCAAAACATGTGTTCAGACTCATCTAAGTTGAGTGCCTGAATATGTTCATGCAGCTATCAGAAAGACATTGCCATTTCCATGTTTTCCAGGAGCCTCAAGGCAAGACCCTTCCAAAAATTATGCATACCATCTTTCCTGTCACCAGCTCTGCCTTCTTTTTTTTAAATTCCAGATTAATGGGAGGGTAGACCATTAAGTTACATTGTTTGCATGTGTTAGGTAGAGGCCAAGTTGTAGTATACCCTCACCAGGAGGTGTGCCTTATACCCTTACATTGTGCCTGTTAGGTGAGAGTACACCAATCCCCTTCCCTCCTCCCCTCACCTCCCTCCTTCCCTTCCTACTCAAGTTTAGTTGAGTTTTCCTCTTATGTGGATGTATGTTTGACTACTGGTTTCATATTACTATTGAGTACATTGGATACTTGCTTTTCTGTTCATGTGATACTTTACTAAGTAGAATGTTCTCCAATTCTGTCCAGGTTAGGACAAAAGATGTAAACTCTCCATCTTTTTTATGGCTGAGTAGTACTCCATAGCATACATATGCCACTGTTTATTAATCCATTCATGTGTTCATGGGCACTTGGGTTAATGTTTCCTATCTCAGTATGGAACATTATTGCTCATTCTTCAAGCAGAAACCCAGGAATCATTAACGACTGGCTCCCCCTCCTCAGTTTAAACAACCCACCAGTCATCTAGCTTAGTCAATTTCACCTTTGCTGTATCTTCTACCTCTCCCTTCCTTTCCTGCCCCAACACAAATCTCTGGTCAGATCCATGTCTTATCAGTTGGGCTATAGCAGTAGCCTCCAGCCTCATGTCTTCCCTCTAGTCCTGCTCTATCACATCCATTTTTCTGCTCAATTAGATGACTTTTTGAAAAAGTGCAAGTTGGTTTATTTTGCTTTCCTATTTTAAGGTAGCCTTTTCTTGTTGTCATAAGGATTAAGTCTATTTTCCTTCCCAGGGCTCCCGCTCCATGTCTGTCTGTCTTGCTGATACTTCAAACTTTACACACCACTTTCTCAGTAACTTTAATCTTCTGATTACTCTTTCTCATCTGAGCCTTTGCACCTACTTATCTCTGTGCTTGGAACAGTCTTCCCATTCCACCTGACTCTCCATCTTGCTTACTAATCTGGTGAAACTGTGTGGAAATTATATACAATTTCAGAGATCTTTCTGATTCTTAAAAAAACAGCCAGATGAGAGATGAGGAAAGGGCATAAAGCGAAGCAACAGGGATGTGGGAGGGAGAAAAAAGAGGCAGGAATAGACCTGTAAAAAGAAACAAATCAAGACCAAAAGTACCAAGAGAGGCCGACAGACAGCAAGCCCAGAGTTAGAAATGGAAGCAGCAGAGGCACGTGGCAAGGATGAAAAACAGAATACAGACTCAGGGTGGGAGACAAGGTGGTTTGTGACCATCTCCATCACAGTTGGATTGTGCAAGGGCTCCTTTTATCTTCGCAAAAACCTCAAGACGTAGGCATGCAAATAGCTGTAACCTCTATTTTATAGACAGAGAAATAAAGCACAGAAATGCATGTGGTTTATTTCTGCAAGGAGAAAGTAGAAAAAGAAGTATGGGCACCCGTGTCCTACATGTGTCACGGGGTGACAGTTGTGGGAAACCAGCCAGTGGTCAGGGTGTAGTTACAGTTTCAGGATGTGAGGAGGAAGGCTGAGGAGTCTGTAGGTTTCTGGGGGATTGGGCCAGGGCCCAATATAAGACTTTAAGGGAAAATTCAATGCTGGTGGGAGGGAAGAGAAGTCATAGAGAGACAGAGAACATAGGAATAGAGTCTTCCCTTTGGGAGAAGAGAGATCAAGAATAAGAGCTAAACAGGTAGTAGAAAGTATTACTGAAAGTAAGATTTCAGTAATATTCTTTTCCAGTAATATTTCAGATAGTATTACTGAAAAAGAAAAATATATAGAAATAAGAGGCAGGAAAAGCCAGTGAGAGAGAAACCCAGACAATGGCAGAGCTGCACAGGTGGGAAGCAGAAGTGTGTGGAGGCAGATGGTAGGTAGGACACTGAGAAGTAGAGAGAAGGAGTAGGAAGTGTAACAAAATAGGAAAAGGGGGAACAAGAGTGCATGGGACCTCACAGTTCAGAGTTGGTATGTTTTCTCATCTTGGGTGGCATGAGCACACTGAGACCAGTTTCTGGCTCACCCTCTGTGGTTCATCATTTCCTTGTTTCTCTGCAGAGTCCTGTAACACCGCAACTCCACAGATGACTAATGAAGAACTAGACAAGGTGCTCAGTCTGCTACCAAGTGAAGGAGAAGGTAATTAGGAATTAAATTCTCAGCCACTTCAACACATACTTGTTCTCTAGCTGGCACAGAAAACTTACCCCCCCCCCCATCCTCTCCTTTGCTTCTTCAAATTCACATGCATAGAGTTAGAATTGTGTTCATTTTTTGTTTTGTTTTTCTCATAACTATGAGAGAGACAAAGGATGAAGGTGAGCCAAGCCCCTGTTTGGAGAATGTGGTAAAACAAAGTATGCCCATGGCAGGCCAGGGACAGCAAAGAAGAAGTGTCTGTGTGGTGTTATTCACATATCAAACCTAAATATCAGCAGGTTATGGCAGTCAAGACAGAGGAGATTATTTTCAGCCTACTTTCAGAAGTACAAGGAACATAGACCTAAGGTTTATGAATGGTCACAGTCTTGCAGTTGAGAAAAGTCACATGGGAGACCCTTGAGATAGAGCTGACAAAGGAAGGGGCTATGGTGCAGTGGTCCACATGAATGTGGAAGAGGCTTTGCCAACCTGGAGGAGAGACCTTTGAGGATGAAGAAAATATACAGAATAATGTAAATATTACAGCACCTAGGAGGGTATGTTAAGACCCAGAAAAACAGAGATAGTCCCCCAGGAGAACAGGGCACAACAGCCCCCTAGACCCACACACCATGTGTGGGTCATGTCCCCCTTGGCTTTGTGCACCAGGTGACAGGCCATGTCCCCCACCTTGTAGACTTGCAGGCCATGCAGCCAAGACATGCTCCTTGGTTATATGCACCAGCTGGCAATGCCTCTGTAGCCCCAAGAGCTGACCAGTGGAATAACTCCCTAGTCCTGCATGTGCCAGCTGGCAGGCCACACCCCCATGGCATCATAGCTATGGCCCATTTCTCCACCATGAACCCAGAAGGTATCCCTGCTACATATAACCCTTACTCTTCAAACTGGATGTAGTGAATGTTCTCAGCCCTGTCCCTAGTGGCCACTACCTAGATAGCCTCCCCCACTGCCACCACTGCAGAGACATCCAGGCAGAGCAATCTCCTACAATCTCAGTGGTGAGGGACATACTCAGAACCTACCTGATCTTCCAACAGTTACTAAACTCAAAAGATAATAGATGCTAGGGATCAACCCAATAGTCCATACTCCTGCATTGGCCCATGTCCCACAACCTCACCTCCCCTTGGCATCCACCAAGGTCCTTTGACCTACTTTGCCACTGATTGGCATCCAATGAAGAACCTAGGTGTCCAAGAAGATTACTGCAACTTGCCCTACTGCTGGCTATAGTCTTGTGTTGTGTCTGGGCACATCCCATGATCCACTTATGTACTGGCCAAGGTCACACCACCCACCTCTGTGGAGAGGGACTTGCACAGCCCCCTGACTGAGCTTCCAACAGTGACCTGGGGACTAATTTACCAATCTGAGTGAATGAATATCCCCAGCATTGCCTCAGACTGTGACAACTACAGGGGATGCCAGAGAAAAGTTATTTTGCAGGTTCTCTTACCATGGGTAAGTAAAAAATTCATGTTATTTTCAAATATAGGTCTGTCATGGAACCAGTGCAATGCAGACAGCTGAAAATATCAACATAGTGTTTGGGGAAAATGTAGCTAATGAATGTAAAGTATGTTGATGGTTTGATAAATTCTATTCTGGTGACTTTAATCTTGAAAATGAGCCATGTGGGTGAACTGAGACCAAGGTAGATGATGATAAGCTTAATGCTGTAGTGGAAGCAAATCCATCTCACCCTACATGTGTATTAGTAGCAAAGTTTCCCATTGTTCTTCCAACAATATTGGACAATTTTAAACAAATGAGCAAGGTAGAGAAGCTGGATAGATGGGTTATGCATGAATTAAATGAGCATCAGAAGGGAAATCGTCTTGGAGCTTGAAGGTGAACCATTTCTACTTGTATTGTTACAAATGATTAAAAATGGATTCTTTTTGACAGTTGCAGGCATTCCCCACCATGGCTGGATAAAAACTGAGTACCAAAACATAATCCAATAGGGTGGTTTTGATTTGCATTTCTCTGATGATAGTGTGGGTGTAGAGAGAAAGGGACACTTATACACTATTGGTGGGATTGCAAACTCAGACAGCCTTTTTGGAAAGACGTATGGAGAATCCTCAAAGAGCTAAAAGTAGACCTTCTGTTTGATCACATAGTCCCATTACTACGTATCTACCCAGAAGAAAAAAAATTATTTTACCATAAAGACATGTGTACTCCAATGTTTATAGCAGCTCAACTCAAAAGATGTGGAAACAACTCAAGTGCCCCTCAACTCATGAATGAATAAATAAACCATGCAATATTTATACCAGGGAATACTATTCAGCCATAAAGAAAGATGGAGACATCACATCTTTTTTATTTACCTGGAAAGATTTGGAGAACATCCTCCTAAGTAAAGCGTTACAGGAATGGAAAAGCAAGCATCCAGTGTACTAATATGAAACTAGAAGATGAACAACTTACCCACTCACACTAGAGAAAAGCACATTTAAATTCAAGAAGGGGGCAAGGGAAGAAGGGAGAAGGTGTGGTAAGCTCTTTACCTATTTGGGACAATATAGGGGTAATGGCACATTTCCTGGGTGAAGGGCTCAGTTGCAACTTGGACTTTACCTAACAAATGCAAGCAATGTAACCTAATTGTAGCCAATTTTAACTTTATATTAATCTGAAAAAAGACTTCTGCATTTGAATGTTTGTTGTAGCACAATTCACAATTGCAAAGATGTGAATCCACCTAGAAGAACATCAATGCATGAGTGGTTAAATAAAATGTACCGTGTGTGTGCACACACACATACACACACGCACATCATACTTCTTAGTCCTAAAAAGCAGTGAAATAATGTCATTTTCAGCAGTTGGATGGAACTGGAGACCATCATCCCAAGTGAAGTATTTCTGGAGTGGAAAACCAAATGTCCTAAGTTTTCATGAATAAGTGGGAGCTCAATAATGGGTACACAGATGCAGAAAGAGATGTAAAGGACATGAGAAACTAAAAGAGGGATAGGGTGGGGGTATGTGGCATAAAAACTTACCAACTGGGGACTGTGAATACTGTCCTGGTGACAGGCACACCAAAAGCCCTGATGTAAGCATTATGTAAGGTATCCATGTAACAAAAATACTTGTACCTCTTTAATTAATATTTAGAAATAAAAATAAAACAAAATAAGAAAAGGCATTTGTTAAAAGAAAGAGATAGAAAGAGACAAAGTTGAAAGGAGATAACCTCAATAAGAAATAAAGTAGATAAAAATTAATAATAAAAATTAGATAAAATTATACATATAGAGGCAAATAGATACACATAATAGTAAGAACAACACTGTGGGAAGGAAATGCAG